ATCAATCAATCAATCCTTTATTTGTTAGAGCAGGTTTATAATTACAAGATTGAATGAACAATATTGAATCGGCAGCCAAAAGGCTGATGTGGACCTGCTATGCAATGTTCTTAACAAGGTAGGTAAAAGGGGTGCCTTATTTCTATTAAAGGTACACGAAAGGGTTAACTTTTCTATCAAAAATTGGTATGCAAAAGAGTAAGGGGTTGACCCTTAGGGCGGAGACCCCGTATAAAAGTTTGTAGAATACCCCCGACTCAACGGTATCTCAGCTACTAATTTAAATTCCAGCCCGTTTCTCAGCTATAACTGATCTGTAAAGTTTACTGATTCAGTAAATTTTACAGATCTTAGATCTCAGCAATCAGTTAAAAAAAATTACGCCTCTTGTCAGCAGAAATTAAAATTTGGACCAATCCTCAGCTGTCATTTAATACCAGTCTAAACTATCGAGTGGAACGGGGAAAATCCATCCTCAAGCAAAACTGAAACCAATCCGCGAGCGAGTAGAGTTACATTATCAGGATAAAGTAAGTAAGGCTTCGATTACCTCGATCGGTCATTTCGATGGCTTTACCACAAGCCTTTGCCATAGCAACAGCGTCATTCAACGCACGCACGGCTTTTCCACCGTGGTGCCCGTGGTCAATGCGGCCTCCTGAAATGAAACAAGATCAAGAGACTGAGGAAAAGGATGTGAGAAGGAGAATGGATTAGATGACAGGGAATGTGCGTAAGAACTTTGTATGGTTTCAGGGGACATGTGTCCTTCCAAACCATAAAATCTCTCTTAAACAGCTGTTCAAAAGTGTATTACATCTTTGGGTTTGAACAAAAAACCACTGACATTTGTTTTAGTTACGCTCAGTTTGTCAAATTAATCGATTTTAAATATTCGAACCCAGACCTTGCTCGTTTAGAACATGGCTAATAGTGTGTTCAAAACAACCAAATCTTTATCAAGTTTTTCAGTCCACGTGGCTCAAATTGCAAAATTAGTTAATGTTACCGTATGCCGTAAGAGCACCTTAACAAGCGCCTCACGTCCAAGCGATGTAGCGCGTCCGGTTGAAACAAAGATACCTAAACCCCCATATCAAATTAAAGCTTACAAAGCTGGCTATCACACAATACCAGGGATTTTAAAATAACATGAATTGTCGAATTTTTCACGACCTTTACTTATGATGGGAGGCGCGGTGGCCTCATGGCTAGTGCGCTCGTCTCCGGATCGAGCGNAGTCGCTTCATGCTACAGAAACCGGGATAAACTCCGGCCTGATGGGCCACTTGGCTCGCATGCAGACTTTTGCTTATGAGCGTCCGAATACATCGCTTGGACGTGAGACACCTCTAAAGGTATACGGTAATCTTAATGTGTAGTCAAACTACTCAAGTCGATATTTAGTTACCTTCCACGAGGAGGAAATATCCCTTTGGATTCTTCTGTAATATATTGATGGCTTTTTCAGTCATTTCTGCTATGGAGGGCTCCCCTGCTGTATCTTCCGCGCGGTACACTTCATACTGCATATGGCTATACTCAAACAAACCTGATGCGTTATAAGCAATGAAGGAAAAGAGATGGTGTAACTACTATCGAATTAGCGAAAACGACGACGCTACGGTGGTTAATTCCCGCTACCTACTTCAAGTTGATAATCAGCGAGAAAATCCAGTGATGTATCATACACTGCGTATTCTATCCGATTCAGGGGGTGGGGGAGGCAGGACGGGGGGGGGGGGAGGAGAATTCCTAACCTCGGTCATTCAGTCTGTTTAGATTGTGAAAAAACACGCTGCTACAAAGCTGCGATGGTCTCCGTCACTAGCAAAACTAGGCCATATACGTAATCTCGGTTTGGACTGGAACTAACTTGCAATATATAATGGAGCCCCATGTGAGGGAATATAAAGAGACTTATTGTCATTTACGTTAGAAAAGAGTCTCCTTCATTGCAAGCTAGTTCCAGTCCAAAACCAAGAATAGAAAAATGAGCTATTCGCTTAACCACCAACCTATCACGTGATCAACCTTCTCCTCGTCAATCTGGTCAAAACTGGTTTTATTCCACACGTACTCTGAGTTGGGATATTTGGCCACCCACTCTTGAAGTAGGTTCCTGCCGTCCAGTCTTTCGCCTTTTTTTGAATGCTCAGGGTCCATCTCGTAGTTGGGAATAAACTTTCGTCGACCCCCCGCGAAGACCACTTCAATGCCATCTCCATACGGGAACTCAACGAGTTGCAAAGCTGTTACAAGACGAAAGGAAAAGGAATAAGCGCGACGTGCGATGTACATTGTATTTTCTGGAAAGCAGAGGGCTGCATTTTATACCGAGGAGTTATGTGCTGCAAAGGGCCTTAAACCCTGACCTATTTAAGGATGAAGCAAACGCAAATTAATACTCTATTTACGGCACAAACCCGAAAAATGACACCCTGTTCAAGGGAAAAACAAAAACTAAGAATGGCATGAACTATTTAGGGATCGGGAACCTCAAAAACTATACCCTATCTGGCGGCACCTAAATATATTGCCCATATATGGGAGTACCCCCTTCCCCCTCGGGCATATAACAGTGCACTCGAACTGTTAACGCTTCAAAGGCGCCGTAACTGAGATACCCATAACGTGCTTGGCCTTAAATTTCATTGTGTACAATCTGTCTTGAACATTCATTTGATCATTCATTTGATGATCATTCATTTTCAAATGATCATTCATTTGAAAAAGGTTTTCCTGTATATCATATTACAACACTCAATAATCATACCACATTTGTAGGTATACCTGCCTCAACCCCTAGGGGGACTCCCATATAAAAAGGACGGGGCTGTTCGTCGTACCTTTTCGGGGTTAAAAAAGCGATTTTGCCTTCACTACACAACCGAACACACTCAAAGGTCGAGGCATGGGCGCGTTGGTCAGCCAGGCCCAAGCTATGTTTTATTTGCGACAATAAGCTTACAACGAAGTGGATAAGAGATACATCAAGTAACGTCCTACATGCGCCAAAGCCGAACACGTAAACCCCAAAAACCTCTTGTTAGGAAAAATAGGGACCGTGTACCCCCGACCAAATGCAGTGGCACCACCTTTGGGGTTTCAAGGTTGACCCATAAACAACAGAATGAAAAAACAAATCATATGACGCTAATTACACAAGAAAAATAAACCTTATGGGAAAGTGCTAGTGGTAAGGCTGACCGTAGAATGTCACAAGTTTCTCAACCATCTCTTTTTACAAACGTACTACCCATGAGCCTTTGCGCACTACTCTCCCACCCAGTTCTCCGTTCCGTGTCGGCAAAATATTAATTTATGTCAATACCGATTATCCCAAATTACATGTTTTGGTGCCTCGTAGGGTGTTCAGCCTCAAAAGGGTCCAAAGCAGGAACTTTCGCGGTACCTTTTAGGGTATTGACCCGAAAAAAGTCAGTGTCAGTTAATGTGTTGTTTTAGAATTGTTACCTCTCAGGGGTTGAAAACATTTCAAGCCACGCCCACAAAACATGATCTTGGTACCTCTTAGGGGGTTCTTTTCAAAATTTCCGACAAGTACCCCCGTCGTTTTTATATGGGAGTTCCCCGGGGAGCTCCACCTACCTATATCTGTACAGTTGGACGGGTCATCTTTAGCCTCTGACTTTAGATCTTTGTCACTTTCAAAATCTCTGTCGGCTGAGTGAGCGTACAGGCAAGCTGGTGTGGCATGCGTGGCACGTGCGGTCGAAATGAAACCAGTTGACATTCCAGCCTTCTCCGCTAACGCCAGAATTGATATCACTTTGTTGTGTTCGTTCATAGTTTTACAGTAGCCTCGTTCTACAGTTTCATCCACGCCAATCAAACCTACGCAGAATGAAATGAAATGAAATGAAAATGATACGTAGTAGTTACAACAGACACAGGAACAGCCCAGTTCTAATTTCATTGGCGTTGCCTTTCAAAACGAGACTCAAATGGTGGAGAATTTCGTTTTGCCAACACTTTCTAAGGACTCGTCCACACTACGACGGAGAAATTTAAAAACGGCTTTTTCACTCTTGTATCATATCACTTTTGCATCAAATGCAAAACGAAAAACGCAAAAATTACCGGACATTTTGGAGTTGTGCTTGAGGGAAACACTGGCAGGGAAATCACATTACTGTCGTGATGTCATCGTTTTCGTAAAGCTTCGTTTTCAAAATGTTTTTCGTCCACACTAAAACGCAAAGTCGACGTTTTCAAATTCCTCTGGTTTGAACGACGTTTTCGAAAAGTCCCATTTTCGTGACGGATTAGTGTGGATGGTAGGCTTAACCGCAGCAATTAAGCCCCATTTTCAAATTCCTCCGGCAAAGTCTGGACCTAATACCAACCGGAGAGTTTGGTTATGTTTTACACATTTTTTTTTTCCTTTTTTGCTTTTGGCGGCGCTGTTGTTCCAAACTTGTGTGTACATTTTTCACGAAAGTCTGAAAAAACACAGGACGAGCCATGAAATTAACGAAATCTCCGCGAGAAAATACGCCACAGAAAAGGAACAAACGAAACAACGCCAACAAACTGTCTCGAGCTGGACTGGACACTTGGGAGGGACCCAGTCTTACCACTATCACTCTTAACCCCGCAGAGAAAGGCCGTTGCTGTGCCAGCGGAGTCTGGGACCTGTTGGTTGACGTTGTACGTCTTAGCGAGCGCGGTCCACGGAAAATGTTCCCAGCTGAGGACATGTTCTTCTCCAGATTGGTTCATCTGCTGCCCTTCCAGGATACGAGCCGCAGTGACAGTAGTAATGCCCATTCCATCTCCGAGGAATAAAATCGTGTTCTTTGCCGTGTGAGTGATTGGCTTCCTTGCCAGGTTGTCTTCGACGAGCTGAAGGCCATCTTTGAACCACTGGTTTTTTTCTTGATTTTCAGGTATCATAATGGAAGGACCTGCAGGTTTGAAATAAAACTACATCAGGCACGATTAACTGCTTTGCACACCACACACTTTCTCGTAATATTCTTTGTTTGTCTGTTCGATTGTTTGCTTGCTTGGGTCTAAAATCAAAAGACGAAATAGGGAATTATCGCCGATAAACATTAATTAACATATACAGTGAGGGCATACACACTTTTGAGGGTCTCAATGGGGTTAACCAAACATTTAGCCGTCAGGCTTAAAAATTGGAACATTTTATGAAGCTCACGATGGACGACGTTCTATGGTCCCCTCGGGAGGAGAGAGTCTTCAAAAGTGAGCAAAGTAGTTTTCCGTTCTTGCAGTCATTAACTTGACAGAGCCGTCTCCTTTCACGCTTCCTATGGGTGGAGAAAATGAGACCATAGATATAAATTTATAAAAATAACCTCCCTGTTCTTCCTTTGCCGTCGTCATGTTTCGGGTAATCGAGACATAATGCCAAAGGGCACGCTAGTCACGCGAACATTACGCAATAATTATAAACTTTATACAGGGTAACATAAACAAAAGGAAACCAAGGATGGAAAAGATAAACGTTGACACGGCTTCTGTTTGTTATTCTAGGTACCTATTCTTTTCAGAGTACCTATCTGTTATCGTTTATTAGTATAGTTAATCGTATGAATGCGAGTCCAATTAAGGATTTACACTACGAGTGATATTTGAAAATTCTCTCAAAATTCCACGAGCTTTAGGCGAGTGCAGTTTGAAATAATTTTCAAATGTCACGAGTAGTGTAAATCCTTAATTGCTAATTAATTGCTCGAGCCTTCATATTAATATGTGACTGGGAAAATCACGAAAGTGCGCAAGTTAATTTGCACTACAGTGCAAATTAAGAATTAACGATGAATTGGCCTGCTCCCAGTCAATGGCAATGAAGTAATTTTCTCAGTTATATAATAATAAATATCACTAATATTACTATCATCATCATCATCATCATCATCATCATCGTCGTCGTCGTCGTCGTCGTCGTCATCATCATTATCATCGTCGTCAACGTTATTATGGGCTCGTTTTTCATTCGTTTTAAGTTGAACAGTCGTAGCCTCTGCGCTCGGTCAGTGGGAAGCAGCGCAGCACCAGAAAAAATGGAAGGGGGAAATCGAGCGACTGTAGCGAAAAAAAACGCCCTCTGTCACCTTCCGCGCCGCGGCGACGTTTTTCGAGCGGCTCCCCTACTAACCGAACGCCTAGAAAAGGCTAAAGGCAAGCAAACTCTAAGGGACAAGTTGCGGGGAAGCCAGGCAGGGACCTACGGATATACGTTGCAGGGACAGTAGATATGACAGGGACAGTACATACGACGCACAAAATTCAAATCAGCTTTACTTCATGCAGCGTTTTTTTTTTGGAAGAGGGGGGGGGGGGGGGGG